CAAACTAGCTTGGAGTGACAGACAATTTAGCATGCATTATTTCTTGGGGATGATCACTCTGACTAGCTACTTTTGGGAATACGGAGATCTCTCACAGTTTATTAAAAAAGAAAAATAAACCAGAAAAGTCACATCAGATGTTGGTGACTTTTGAGAATCGAGTGGGCCTAGAATGTCTCGAGAAGATGGTGCATCAGAATGTGCCGTCTGTTTTGCATCGGCTAGAGGCAGGTTTTCTTCTATTTTTTCTAGTGTCTGAAGCCTAACCAAAATCCCGGAATTTTAGACCTTGGTCAAAATTGATTTCAAATTCCCTGAATGCCTTCACCGATCGCGGGGGGGGGGCTTGTTGGGGCCACCGCGCGGGGTGGTGATTACAGTATTCATCCAACGCCGCGGGCCTGCGCTCCCTCGAGTCGTCCACCCAAGGATAGAGATCAAGCGTAAGACAGGCCACGTATGAGTCGTTCTAGATCTAAGCATTAGCGCACAGATGAAAAGGACCCTTTCAATTGACGGAGGGCGGGCACCGGAAGATCCTTCATAAGATGATTATTGAATACTTGTGACTACAAACGAGTTAAGCATCAAGCGGGAGTCCAGAACACCCGCCATCCCTTGGTTTCGCTCAGGGCAAGCTCGCGGACGGTATCGTCGACAGCCGTCGTGTCCCAATACGGAATCATCAGAGGGGAGCCCAACGCCATATCCAAAACCAATCATCACCCGCTCGGGTCGCACGATGTCCACTATGCGGAACAGTCTGTGACGTATCGTCATGACTGATGACACGGCCCAAAGACATCATCATCTTCGGAGATAGTGTGGCGGGGTCAATACCGAGCTCCTGAAATAAGGAGTCGATCGTGGGTCCAAATACCAAGCATCGAAGTTGAACAGGGGGTGATCAACACACCTGCCATGCGACGATCATTCCGTTCAAGAATCGCGAAACAACAGGCAAACCAGGCCACGATGAATCCAACGCGTCCCAATCGACACTTGAAGGGGAAAATACGGCCATCTCTCCGTTGGTATCTCCATGAATCTCCACATTTTCGGACCCGATGGCGTGGACTCCCCCTGGGGGTGACTTGCATGCTCATTTTTGGGACCCCACAAATCCGCCTCTACATTGACAGATGTAACGAAAAGGTTGGGAGGGAGATCGCTCCGTTGGGAAGGTGGAACCAATGTGGGAAGAGGCCGAGGCTCGTCGATGGCTGTAGAAGTATCACCCATGACCACAGACGCAGCTTCGTTCGCGACATCGCCATTTTTGTCGCCAAAGACTATTCGCATTGGCTGGGTTTTCTCCATAGCTTGTCGAAAGCCTTTTTCTTATTCTTGTTTTTGAGACTATATGACGGGGTGATCGCAGAGGGGTGGAGAGGAGTCGCCGTCGCAGAAAGAGGCTGTGCGGCAGGTCCCAAGGATTCATCATCAGGGGGCCCGGGAGAAGGTTGACCCAGACTATTATTAGTATTGGCCTCCCTCCCAGATGGAAGAATATTCGCAGCATGGCCTTCGGACTGGGACCGCCTTGCACGGCGGAGTTCTCTTCGACGGCGGTTGCGCTCGTGGGTTTTGTTCATCCCTTGCCCTGGAGGCACTGTACGCCCGGCCCCGCCGTTTTTTTCCTGTGCCTGATCATTTCTGGGAATGTCGAATATCAGGCTGTAGGATCGGGGTTGTGGAGCACATGGACGCTTACGAGGGCACTATTTTTGTGAATGAGATCGCAGGTGGCACCACCTTTTTCTTTGCCGCAAAGTCTTTGGGACGCGAGACGTGCACAGAAGGCGCAGACGAGGATGAGGACGATGACGATGACGATGCGGACGAGGATGACGGAGGACGAGGAAGTAGAAGAGACACCCGAGTCGGAAGACGACAAAGACGATAACCGCCGCTTACGCTTTCCCAGTGCCAATGCCGATGATCCCGATGGAGGAGGGGGTGGAGCTATGAGTGTGTACCGATCACTGCGGCCGGGAGGGTTCTTTCTCGGATGTGGGGTACTGCCGATGACCGGATGTGAGCGTTTTTCATTATGCAACAATGGGAGAGGACAGAGTAGTTTACTGTGGGAGGTTCACACCTTCATTTGCGAATTCGGCTTTCTGGAACTGGCGATCGGTGGAGGGAACTGTGTTTGGAAATAATTGAATCCTAATGTGTTTAGAGGGCTGGGTGATGAAATGGCCGACGATTTGGAACAAAGCGAGGAGACGAACACGATCAGATCATTCTCTTTGATTACTTCCCAGGGGTCTCATCCAGGAGGTCGAAGCCATCAATCGACAAAAGGAGAAGATCTGGAGACAAAGGAGTATTACGCAGGCCTTGCAAATGAAGGAGCTCGGCTTTAAGTTGGGCGATGCAAGGTGCAGTGTATGGATCGGCGGAGGGGAGGGGAGGCAACAGGTACCACGCTTTCAGCGGAGGAAGAGGTGGTTGTGTTTTGAGACGAACTCTCATTGGGTGATTCTGGGAACTGCCGTATTTCAACAGGGTGCGCGCCTTTCTTCCAATTCCCAGGTTGTATTGATTTTGTGATGACCAAGTAGTAAAGTACTAGTAGTAACTAGTACTACTAGTGCGCTGACGAGTGTGATGCCTAGGCTGTGCGCACATGGTGCCTTAGTCAAGCTTAAATTATTGTGGAACGGGGGTGATATGGATAATGGCCGGAGAGAGACAGCTACCAAGGCACCAAGGTCGCATAGCCTGAGCCTTGAGCCCTTGCCTTGACGAAAAAGTGATGGGCGGGCCTGGCCAGGTCGTGAAGAAAAGAAAGGGAAATAGATCTTAATCCAAACAGCCACCGGACGGAGTGCCCAAACCCGGGAAATGAAGCCGGGGGCACAAAGGCGCTAACGAGAAAATTGAAAAACAAAGGCAAGGGGTAACTATGAAGTTTTGCCGAAAATTAAATGAAAGAGAAAAACAAAGTACCTCACCCGATAAACTCTCTGGAGCAATTCTTTCACGCCTTTGCAAGATTTGAGCGCTTTTGATGAGAATTACACACGGAATTGATCAAACTATGTAAATTGTGTGAGTGGCCACAAAGGCAAAGATCTGTCGGCGATGACCGTACAGGTTGTCGCTATGAGTTTTGATTCCCTCCCATTCGTTCCCTGGAATTCATACCCCATAGGCAGGGAGAAAGGCGCGCTCTTTCCAGAGCTGCCGTTTCTCTCCTGTCCAAACTCTCGTGGCCTATAAATCCCCACGAGTGATTGCCCCTCATCCCCCAGCCCGCCACAGCTCCTCAGCGCTCCTCCTCAGTCCTCAGTCCTCACTCCTCGGTGTATATTCTCTCCTCTTGTACCTATATACTCTTGTAAGTGCTCTCTCCACACACACACCATCGCCTCGTGTCAATTCGTTTGTTTCTCGACAGTGTCATCACCTCGAGTTCATAATGTGTTACAACTTGCACACCACCACTGTCTTCCGCGCCTGCATGCACCAGCACACCAAAATCCAAAAGGACGTGGACTGTTACCAACAGGACTGCCGGCGCTCAAGTGCCCATGGCAGAAACTGCAGGTTCTGCGTCCAAGACCCTGAATTCTGTCGTTCGAAGCGTCTGTAAGTAATTTAAATGCCACTTTTCTCTCACAATCACGGGTATACTGACCGTGGGTCCCGCAGGCCTCATCGCGAGACTGAGACCTACGACTACGTTAACCTCTGCCCGTGGTGCACTGCATCGCAGCCCCGCCTCGGTATGCGCGTCTGAACCACGCCACGCCACGCCCGCCCCGCATACACAATTAAATGCGAGCGGAAAAAAGGCGGCAGGTCCTCCTTCGCGTACTCCTTCCCTTTTGTGACCCATTCAATTGCACGCGACGTATTCGTTAATTCGATCAATCTCCATTTCCTTCATCCCACCCCCACACACATCCCCCCTCTCAATCCCCACCGTCACTCCTCTCTCTCACTCGCTCTCACGCACACGTCAACGTCACGCGCATACTTCCGGCTTCAAAAAATTTATACGCCTTGCGCACGCGTTGCTTGCTTTCTTTTTTGCTATTGGCTTTTCCCTCTCTCTCTATCTCTCTATTTTTTTTCCCTTTCCTCTCCTCTCCTCTTTTGGCAAGCGCATTTCCCCTCTGCATCCCATCCATACCCTCCTCTCGCACGCATCCACGCTTTTCGCCTCCCCCACCATGTATTTGATACCGGAGGCCCCAGCACCACCACCACCCATTCGTCGACCATAATTTACTCGCATCCATTTGTCCGATTGTAACAATCTCCGAGCGCACATGGAAAAAGTTCATTTCAGCCCTCGATATGACTTATCATCATCATTCACTCCCCTAGTCTCGACAGGAGATCCGCACTTTAGTTATAAAAGGGGGCCGAGGCCTCCCCATAAGGTAGTAATCAACACCGCGGCCACGGCCTGCGTATTTCTCACCCTCAGGAGATATATTCCCCCCCCCCTCCCATTTTCTCCTTCCCGCTTGCCAAATATCGAACTCAGGAGTAAGGAGTAATACGGCAATTATCATTCAATTCCTCCTCGGACGACTGTTTGAGTTATGGCGATCTGTGGAGTCTTATACCCGAGATCCGGACTCCGAGGGCAATCGCCAGATAATACTGAAATCATCCGAATCCGAAGAGATAAGTATGCTCCTGAGAACAATTCATTCATCCTTGTAGTCAACCATATCGAATACACATCTCCTCACTGTCATCAAACAGCCGAACAAGACGAAAGAGGATGAGCCAAGATTACGGATGATAAGAGAGAAAGATTAGAAAGACAGGGGAGCGCGCGGCTTATCCCCCGTGCGGCAGACTCCGGTCCCCGAGGTGTCCGTGCCGGCGTGCCCCTTGGGGCCTACGCAGATTCCCGCTCATCCACCAGACCCACCGTCAGTCCGGTCTAGATTTCCGATCGGCGCAACTTGTCCGGGCGCTAAGTGCGGGTGCGCGCCTGGACCCCGGCAACCAAAAAAAAGTCTTAGTCAAGCACCAGGTCGGATTTGAACCGGCGACCCTGCGATAGTCATCCGACTGCAATCGCATGCTCAACCACTGAGCTTCTGGTGCAGACATTTTCGGGAAGCCAGAGGTACTCTCATCATCGCTTCCTCAGCCGGATCATCGCCGGGGTTTTCTTGAATGGACATTACAACCTAATCGACATGTAGAACAAATATAGAAATGGAATGAGTGCTAAGTGGGTATCTGTGACGGATCTATCTTAGTGATCCAAGACAATAGCTCTTTGCTATTGGGAGCTGCTAATGCGTGGGAATTTGAAGGAGTGAATAAAGTAAATGTATGCTTGCGCTACGGGAGTCAGACAAGCTGTCAATGCCAATGTTATGTCACCTCAGCGGACCACGCACGCCAAATAGGGTATCCATTGTGGAGCTGTGCTCCACCTTTACGCCGCTACCGCTGAGGCTGATCACGCCTACCTCGTCTAGCTCATTAGAATGTGCATATATGTACAGATGCGGTCTAGACATCCAACTCAGCAATCATCCACGACACAGACACAGACACAGACACCCAATGGACTTGCCTTCTCAAGATAAACCATTGTCTCTGCCATGTATTGGTTCCTGCATCCGAAAGGATGAGCAAGTGCCCTTTCTTCGTAGCGCCGTCACTAGAGCTCCTGTTAGCCTTCGGTGGAACGTGCACTACGAGACGCTGCCTTACGATCGAGGAACAATCTTGGTGCTAGAAACAAGCTTCAGGGACTCGGGGGGTGTCAAGTTTGGTAGAACTGAATTGTCATCCATGGTGCCTTGACCGAGGACAATCTTAAACAAAGAAATTGGTTAGTAAGAGCACTCTCACACAAGAGTCACATTTTCACCTGTCCACGGTGACCGAAGCGCCGCTGCCAAAGCTCCAGCACTTTATGCAACAACTCGGTAGTGTCCCACGTTCGGTCATATCCAGAAGACGGGAACGTCGCCAGTGACGCAAGGATCGTCTTCACCGCATGGACGTCTGCGGCTCGACGTTCGGAACAATCTAATCGAACGTAATCTTCCACCACGGACAGCCCGCGAGGCTTCCACGGACCCAGAGCCTCCTCCCCACGGACATATTTCTCAGACGTATCCAGCCGCCAAAGATCCCGTGGAGATCTGGTCAACGGTGGGTCAGGCGAAGGCTAAATACAGTGCTCGTCTTCGCAAGGGACTTGGTAGACGTTAGTAAATTCATCAACAATCCAGGCGCCTTCGCGTCGCGCCCGTGAATCGCCACAGCCATGTCCATACTGAAAGTCGCCGGATCCCCGCAGGTATCAATGTCGACCGCCCACGTTAGTTGCAACAATATTCGTTGATTCGACGCAGTCACGCGATTCAACAGATACGAATCATGGGCACCAGAGTCCCATAATACTTCAACACCGATATTTCCAGTCCCGTCCGCTCGAAATTGAGGCGACTGGTGCTTGAGCAATTTGAGATCAATCATGTCCTTTGAGGCAGTCTCGTGCACCCGACCTTTAGAATCCAAAAGCCGGACGCTTCCAAGACGAACACGGGAAATTAGGCTCCACGGTAGTTGTCGCCCAGAATTTGAAGTGAGCGTAAGTCTCAATCGTCTCTGTAACCCCTGGTGCAGGGAGAACGACCCTGGATCCAGCGGAGCTTGGGACATGACTGGTACTGGTTGGTATGAACCATCCGAGGTCAATTCGGATATTTGTATCCACGCCACGACATCGTGCACCTGCTCCACAACAAAATCATTTTCGGATCTTCGCATTATAGGGGGGGTTGACGGCTGCGATGAAAATGAGGTGGTGGACGAAGGGGGCGATGAATCAGGATTCACAGGAGGACGCTGTTCCCGCAGCTCATCCCATCGCTCTAATCGTTCAAGGTATTGTGACTTGACAATCGCAAAGAATTCGACTGGGGCATATCCTTCACGCAAATAATTCGCCACCTTTGACGTCACGGCAATGGAGAATGTCCGTCGGAATTTTAGTTCTGAAGGAACCCCTCTGTCCAAGTCTACAGAATTCGAGGTGTATACATCCTCGGTTTGGACCGTGGGGCCAACGAATGATGAAAGTCTAACTTGAAGGTGAATAGCGGAGAAGTCGAGGGAAGAGAGGCCTTTTACACTGTCGACCGTGACGAAAAAGCTAAGTTTGCTGCCGGAGGGGATAGTGCCTGGCATTGGGGAAGATGATCGGGTATGGGGCGTAGAACTATTCGGGGACCTGACTGGAGGAACAACGTTCGCCACTCGAATGTCAATCCGACATGAACCTATCGCTTCTGCCGTGTAGCGACAAAATATGGGCACAGTCGACGTTGAAGAAAGCCGTCGGGATAAACACGCGAGAGAGACGAGGGCATTCCCAACAAATGAGTATTCTGGCGGAGGGGAGTCGTAAAACGGCTCTTCAGATGCGAAATGTTGCGAATATGACGGTCGGTCAATGAAGGCGGTCAAATTGCGCATCTTCTGAAGTTGTTGCTGCAAGCGATCCAGCGACCAAACGTACACCGCATTGTTTCGCTTGTCGAGGACCTTGACGCCAACAAATGGTTGTGTAGCAGAGGCGAGGACGGGGTCAGTCACATCTCCAAACTCTCCCAGACCTGCGATGGTATGCAACGCAGAGGAAGGTGATGCCAACGATCCTCCAGCAGCAATAGTGAAGTTGTAAGATACATCCTTCCCAAGTTCTTTGCTGTAGACAATAAATCAGAATGAGTACACTTCCGACCGTATCGCGATCGACAGCACATGCCTGATTGCATTCGCCTCTTTGACAGTGACCGCATTTGCGAGAATAATTTCAGACATTGAGAATGACCGATGGGCTCGCCATCGATCCAAAGTCTTGCGCAGCAACCGGAGTTCCCGTGCAGTGTATATTGTCGGTTCGAACGGAACCAGGTCGGCGTTATCCGTAGCGATACCTCGAGCTCGAAGCTCCAGCAATCGTTTCATCTGCATCTGAACCATCTTCAGCTGTGTCTGCATGTGCTCCTTCTCCACCTTCAAATCATCAGCTTCGGACGACTCCTGAATAGCATTTAAACGTGCTTCGTAGTCGAGCTTCTGGGCATCCAGATGTCCGTGTATTTCAGACATGCCATCTAATTCGGGTGTGCCATTGGGTCCTGGATCGACGCTGGTATCGTCCGTATAAGCCTCGTTTGAAAATGGGCGGCCGGCCTCACTCCACATGTCTTCTACCCCGCTCAAGCTGCTCTCGGGGCGACCCTTGACACTCAAATCTCGCGTTTCACGACTGGATTTAAGCTTCGTGATACGGTCGAAGAGCTTATTGAGATCCTCATCGGGAAGGCTGTCGAGACCAGGATCTAGACCATGAAGACGTGCAAGCGCTGCCTCGCGTTGCGCGAATGTCCAATCAAGATCGGGCTCGGAAGATGCGGAACCACCTGGGGATCCTGGACGAGTCACAGTGGGATCTCCATCATTCGCGGTCACGGTGATATGCATCGAGGATTTTGCCCGATCTCGCTGTTTGCGTACTTCCTCTGGATTGTTAAAACGAAACACGTGGGAATCGCCTGGAAACGGCACGTTAGTGGCATTTCAAGTCCTAATTCAAAGATAAATGACGGATCACCAAGGATGATGCGGAAACCAGATCGCAGTTTGTGTGGCTACAACGAACACACTGAGCACAGCGGAAGGTGAGTCAAGATCAACAAATAACATACATGTTCAGGCTCGACCTGCTTTCCATTAAGAAGCTGAAGGGGTGCATATATATAAAAATCCTCGGTGATGCTTTGAATCGCACTTACAGTGATGCTGCCAGGCATTGAATGTATAGTGACCACGCTATCAACGTTCTCGAAATAGCAGTGTTCATCAAGGATGTTGGAACCACTCAAGCGGATGGCGGAAGGTTTCTCGCCGTCCATTCGACCGACCTAATAAATAGGGCGTAAATCACATAGAGGATCTGACGCGGTGAAATGTAACGAACCACCATAGTTCTCCCAGCCTTCAGTTGGTAAACAAGACATTCGCTCATAAGAGGATCTGTGGCGCGAGCAGTGAGCATCTGAAAGAGAAGCAACTGTAGTGCTGAATACCTTCGTTCTAAGAGCATAAATAACAAATTGTGAAGAATCAGTCCCGTGACATGACTGTTTGTTATGTCACTTACAAGATTGACAAGATGTGGCATCTGCGACCCGAATTCGCAAAATTCAGCCCAGTGAGATCTCGGGGGCGAGCGCACTTACCTTCTTGGGAGTATGTACGCCAATCAAATTCTTCTCGACAGTAATCCCAAGCTCCTCCAATGCTTGTTCCCTTTCCTTCTGAATTTCCTGAGTCCGTGCCATTTTCTGTTCCCACGTCTCGTTTAGGCTTTCCATGAGTTTCTCGCTACTCTCGAGTTGTTCCTGCAGCTCGGCCTTGGATACGGTCTTCGTCTGGCCGTCTTTGGTCTGATACGTCACCATCTGCTTCTCCGCCGGAATTCTGGGATTGAAGAAAGCCTCGTCAGAAGACCCGCCACCTCCAGCCACGCGGCCTACAAATGATTGAGAGCCCGTAAGAATATACAAATGGGTGGTCAGCGAAGGTGAACTCACTTCGCAGCATTTCGAGCTCTTCTTTGAGCTCTCGGACGAGTTTTGCATTTGGATCTTCATTAACGACAGCCTTATTCTTGATTTTCTTGGCTTGATCTGCGTATCGTAGAGTGCTGAGTGTCTCGTCATAGTCCGCAGGCGAGATGGCTGCAATCATGGCTGTCTTCGAATTGCCTCCTAGACTGTCTTTCAGAAGCCATGTCAAAACCTTCGGTGTTTTCCAGCCCCTTTCAGTGAGAATCGATCCTACACATAGGCAGCACGAAGAGGATATACGCACGGAGTCTCGATAGGGAATGAATTCGTTTCCTGCCTTCTTTCCCTTTGGCTTGGACGTATCTGAACTCGCCTGAGCTAGTGATGAGATGACCTTTCCGAGGGTTGTGAGGGACTTGTTGATGTTTGCTCCTTCCTTAAGCCTAGTACCGGTAGCTCCTGTGGAATTGGCCCGCTCTGAACCAGCAAGATCGACAAGAC